ACTACATGGGTATTCTTAGTGAAGAAGAAACTTAAAACTGCCTAAATCTTTCAAACCTTTCATGACATGATTCAAATTCAATTTCAATACAAAATTCAGATCCTCAAACCTGATAATGCAAAAGAATATTTTAACTCTTTCATTGGATCTTATATGTCAAAAAATAGAATTATCCATGTGAGGACATGTATTGATACCACATGGTAAAATGGGATATTTGAAAGAATACATATGCATCGTCTTGATATATTATGCTCAATTATGATTTATCATCAAAAACCAAAATATTTTTGGGGTGAAACAGTTCTTACTGCAACATACATAATCAATCGAAGGCCTAGTCAGGTACTTTATTTTATAGCAACAGTTAATGTCTAAATGAGTATCTAACCACAGGTTAGAGCTTTCTCTCCTATTGTACCATTTAATTTTTTTTGGTGTGTTTTGTTTACAATCAAAATTACCCAAACCACACAAAACTTGACCCTAAATTCATGAAGTATATTTTTCTTGTGTATGTCTCCAACAAAAAGGGCTATAAGAATTACACTTGTTAACAGAAAATACAACTCCATTGATGCCACATTTTTTGAAAATCAATCCTACTATCACAAATCTGATATTCATGAGGTGAGTGCAAATGAACATCAATTTTGGAATGACGCTTAACGACACCTCAAGACCTACCCCTCTTCCACCTAGCCCTTCTACCACTCAAACACCACTGCATGAAAATATCTTGCTTGAGGATGTCCGAAAAACCTAACCTGAAGCTTGTACCAAAGAACTTTGTGCATATACAAGAAAAAAAAAAACCCCTGAGCATGTGGAAGACTTGTAAAGTCAGAGCTGCTAAAGCCAACAACTGAGTCCACATTCACTTGAAATTTTAGATAAGAATTCTAGAATTCATAAGTCAACTTCTTCCTCTTCTGGTGTTGATGATAAGGGAAGCTATACAAAATATCCAATTCGGGATTATGTAGCTTATGGGAAGCTGTCCTCCTACTATAAAGCTTTTGTATCTAACATCTGCAGATTTCAAAATTCCATCATGAAACTCTGAAAATTCTAGAATAAAGGAAAGCAGTTGAATAGGAGATTCAAGTATTAAAGCATAATGGCAAATGGATTCTTACTAAGCTTCCTCCAGATAAAAGAACAGTTAAATGCAAATGAGTATTCAAGGTCAAGTAGAAAACTGATGGTAACATTGAGAAATTCAAAATAAACTGCATACAAAAGGTTTCACTCAAGCTTGGGATTGACTATCAGAAGACCGTTGCCCCAATTGCAAAACTGAACACTATCAAAATTCTCTCAATAGTCGTTAACAAAAAATGGAGACAACATCAACAACTTGACATAAAAAATGACTTCATGAATGGGAACCTTGAAGAAGTGTACATAGAGATACCGCCAGAACATGAGAATGATGCTAAAAAACACCTAGTATGCAAACTCAGAAAGTCACTCTATGGTTTAAGCAATCACTAAGGGCATGGTTTAAGAGGTTTACCAACACCATGAGATCTAAAGAATATTCTCAAGGTTAAGCTAATCATACACTAGTTATAAACACAATCTGGGATGTGAGATTGTTCCAGGATGATTGCATTGAGCTTACTAAATTGCATACAGGGAGAACTATTACCGCCCTTGCTTACGAGGCCACATTTTTGTCCAATGAGACCAACTTTGGCTAGCTCGGCAAACTCCAGCTCCATCCTCGCGAAAGTTTTTTTTTTTTTTTTTGGCAGCACCTTATTCACAATGCAATACAAACCCATTCTTGGCTCGTCAAGGCGGATTGGCAGACACCCTCACCTGTCCAAGGGGTTGCCTCGGTCTTGAAGACCGTGATCATCTTATTTCTAACTATTTATTATTGTGCGGAACCAACGAGGCCATGATGTCCTGGGGATTTTTTTTGCCCTCATTCAACAACTTCGACAAAGTGGTCAAAGATCTCAGCACAACACAGAAGCGCATAATTGCCCAAACTCAGTGTATGCGATCCATCACTGTTGGTGGGCTCGTAACACCAAAGTTCGTTGCTTTTTTTTTTGCAGCACTTTAATCACAATGCAATACAGACACATTCTTGGCTCGTCAAGAGTGGATTAACGGACAACCTCACCTGTCCAAGGGTCTGCATCAGTTTTGAAGACCGGGATCATCTTATTTCTAACTATTTATTATTGTGCAAAACCAATGAGGCCATGATGTAATCGGGATTTTTTTTTCCCTCATTCAACTACTTCGACAAAGCGGTATCTCGGCACAGCACAGAAGCGCATAATTGCCCAAACTCAGTGTATGTGATCCATCAATTTTGATGGGCTCTTAACGCCAAAGTCCATTGCTGACCACATGGTACACCAACAATTATTGATGCGAGAATCCTTGAAGCTCTAACGAAGACTCATATTTACCCATTTCGGGGGCAATGGGATGCTAGCCAACCTTCCACGTGGTCCCAACCTATCTGGTATCCCCCCAAATTGTTAAATGAATGTTAATGGTGCCCTTTTACCTTCTGGGACAATAGACACCAGCTCCATTATCTGAGACAAACGCGATATGGGCATATTTGTTGCGAGACAACATTTCAAATATTAGGATAACTCTCAAGTGGAACTCCTGGCAATCCGCCTCCTGCCAACCAAGTATGTTTGAGCTCAAAGGCCTCATTGTGGAAGAAGACAACTCAAATATTATGTGATTTCTTAGTTCTTCCATGAAGTGTGACCTTCGGCATCTCCAACACAACTAGCACCCAACTTTGCTTTTCATATGAATTTCAAACAAGCGCTCTTTTTACATACTTCTAGAAAATGTAATAGGGCCCGCTCATTTTTTGTGTGAAGCGCGCCCTTAGTAATTATTTCTTTTTAATGCATGTAAATGAAGATAGGAAACTATCTACTATACTAATAGATAACAGGGCTCATTTTTTAACATCATAGATACTTACATGCATACTTGTTATACTATTTCGATGTAATAAGGCAAATGCATACTTTCACGGATGATATGTTACTTACTAGTGATGATGAAAGGAAAATTCTTAAAATCAAATAATTGCTTGCCACTGATTTTTAAATCAAAGACCTAGGAAGAATGAGATATTTCCTAAGTATGGAGGTATCAAGGTCTAAAAAGGGCATTGTTATATGACAAAGGAAATGTAACCTAGATTTGCTAAAAAAAATAGGGACAATTGGATGCAAATCTACTGATACTTCAATGAATCCCAACATGAAGTTTATTAGGGGAGAAAAAAGTATATCTACGGATGTGGGAAGATGTCAAAGATTGGAAGAAAAACTCATCTAACTTTCACATATTATACCAGATCTTGCATATTATGTTAGTATTGTGAGCCTATGAAAAACTCAAATGAAGAGCATTTCAAGATGGTATAGAGAATCCTAATGTTTCTCAAGAGGACTTCCGATTAGGTATTTTTGTTTGAGAGAATTAGAAACAGAGAGGAAGAAGTCTACACTGATGCAAGTTGGGTTGGGGAACTCACTCACAATTGCTCCTATGTATGAGAAAATACGGCACATGAAGAATTAAGAAGCGAGTTGTTGTCTCCAAAAGAAGTGCAGAAACAGAGTATATGACACTTGTCTTGGGAATCTGTGAAGGAATCAAAGTTCAAAAATTGTTAAGGGAATTGGGGTGTGCCTCGGATAAGACTACACAAATATTTTATGACAGACAAGCAGCTATCAGTATTGCCAAGAATGTTGTGCATCATGACAGAATCAAACATATTTAATTTGATAGGCACTTTCTCAAAAAAAGTTAATGATGGAATTATACAATTAAGTTATATCACGACACACCAATAAGTTGTTGATGCCTTCGTCAAAGCTTTTCTGTGAATTAACTTCTCAGAATTTAAAACCCAAGTTTGGTTACAACATAAACAACCTAAGTTGAGTGGGGATGTGAAAATATAAGAGGATCAGCCTCCTTAATAATTGGAGATAATTTGAGAAACTTCTTGATTAGTTTTATTCTCTTCCTATTTATGTTTATTTCAAAACTAATTCCTTTCCATATTTAGGCTAGATATACTTGGTAAGATTGTAAATTAAGAGGGACCGGTTTCCTTATATATGTAACCATATAGTTGAAGATTTGTAATAAGAATTTTAAGAATTCCTTCTGAAGTTTTTCTTCCAAGATTATATGTTTAAATGATTGGTGGCCGATGGAGGCATGCGACAACAACAACTGCAGTTTATAGTTTATAGTGTATTTGAAACTCACCCAAAACTGATGAATTTAGAATACGCTAGAAATAAACTAAATGTTACATTTGAAATTCAATGAAATTTTACATTGCATTCTATTTTCGTCAAAACTAAACACACTACTTTTTAAAACATCTGCATTTGGAATGTAGTACACTCATTTTACTTGCAATCAAACAATCCTTACGTTTACAAGATAAAACGCAAATATATCATAGCATCAAATGAATCTTTAAAACATGGCTTCCATAAACAATCTCTTCCAAATTTTCTCTAGCTTTCAAAGATTTGTGTCCCATCAAATTAATCAACATTTCATATATCCTCTTAAGCACTTCAACACACCAATGATGCAAACAACTTGGATGCAACATCAATTACGGTAAATGCTTGCTTAGGTAAAAAAGGAACAAGCAATAGCATCAAATGCATACTTAAAAACATGGCTTTAACTGAAAAACTAGCTGCTCAGATAATGAGTATCTCCTTAAATTGATAAAAATATCAGATTTCCTTCCTGCAATTCAATATGCCAGCGATCAAAACAACCAAGGAAAAACGTCAAAGTATGAAGCGAGCTCCTCGGCATATTTTAAAATCTAATATAAGCACAGAGATGTAAGCACGGTCATTTTCATATGCAAGTGAATTTTCAATTATAGAGGAAGCAGCAGTTGAAGGAGACGCTAAATAATAAAGCCATAAATTTGAAAGCTGGCCAAAACACACCTCTTCAATCTCTTTGGCAGCACGATTTGGGTCAGCACTAGGTAGATCAATCTTATTTAACACCTATAATACAAAAACTCGAAAATTTGATCAGTTCAAAAATATGCACGATAATCCAACTTTAAACTATAATTATACCTGTTACATCTTCGAAAAAAAGAATCATGCATGCCAATCATGTTTTTCCAAAAATTCATACTTTCATATTGGAGTCATGAAAATGACCCAGTTCAGAGAGACGACTGAATTGTGTAGACTAAGAGAATTGGTAAGGTTTCGTAAACCAAAAATAAATATAAGGTAGCTGCCCACATGTAAATCTATTATCCAAACAATGGCCAGTTATTAATCATGTAAAAGTTTAATCATCAACATTAACAACAAGGGTGATAAAATAAAAAGATACTGATACCGGAGTTAAATCCAAACCACAACAAAAATAATAATATTATTGTTGAATTTCAAGGTATTACAGACAACAACACTTGCAATAAGAAAACATGATACGAACACAAAGCAAGGGCATGGATCATGGTGGTGGTGTTGCGGTTGTATGTGGGGGTGGAGGGAGATGGCAGCAAGGTTAGGAGGGGTTGTACGGGTTCAGACTCCAATGGGGAAGAAAAGAGGGAGAGCTGCGGTTGGAATGATTAGGGTTACACTAGAGTGGGAGAAGGAAAGGGTGAAGGCTGCTGTTGGGCTGTCGGAGTTGGGCTGCAGCGGGGAAGGAATTGGGGAAGGGCCCCTGTTGAGCTGTAGATTGGACTGTAGAGGGGAAGGAAAGGGTGAAGGCTGCTGTTGGGATATTGGAGTTGGGCTGTAGTGGGGAAGGAATTGGGGAAGGGATTGCTGTTGGGCTGCAGTTAGCTGAACCAGCAGAGAAAAGGCGGGTTGCAGGAGAAAGAAGTGAAGTTACAGCAGGTGGAGGCCCTAGATGGCCTTACAGTAACAACAGGGAGGGGGGGAGGTTCATGGCTACAGAGGTAATGCAGTCAGCGGCTCAACAGGAAGGAGGAATTTTGGCTTGGCTACTGGACAGGGAATTTACGGGAGTGGGGAGTCCGCAGAAGTAGTGGAACCGTAAGGTAGCAGCAGGTACATGGAATGTGGCAGAGGCTGACTGGGAGAATCTGGGATGCTGGTGAACAGTAGGTGCTAGAGGGAGGTGACAGGAAGTTTGTAGGAGAACAGCTGCTAGATGAGGATGGCAGGAGGCGATCTGCAGAAAGTGCAGGTGGAAGTCGGAAAAGGGTTCGGAGATAAAACCAACAGCAGAGAGAGATACAGTTAGAGCACCACCCTAACCGTCAGATATAGCCCTTGACAGGGAAAACAGGACGTCGGCGGCTGTCCTCACAAATCTGAAATCTGAAATATAATAAACTGCCTCCGTAAGACCTAAAAACAAGTATAAATAGAATTAGGATGGGTGGAAAATGAAAATAAGAAGGCGGGAAATTTTCTGCCTAATGAAAAGGGGAGGGGCCAGTTCAGCAGCGCCCTCCCCCTCTCAACTGAACTAGTTCGGTCCAAACCGGATCAGCTTTTGGAGGAAAACGCCGTGTCAGAGATGCTTTGCAAAACAAATTTCAGCCGTGCAACACCAGTAATGTTATGTGCCGAAAAAGAATTTTCGTGTTTAAATCCCTAAAGCATATATGTTTGCCCTAACATTTTCGACAAGATAAGCTCAACCATAAAGCTGATTTGCTTAGGTCTAGTTAGTAGAGTTTTACAACACAAGCCAAGAATCCTTTTTTCTCCTTTAAAATAAATCATATTCAACAGCTCAAGTAAAAAACAAACTTTGAACTTCCTCAATATGAGAGAGAAGACATAAATATGTCCTTTTTTTTTATTTAGGTTGATTGATCTTATTTAACCAGATTTCACTTGAAATTAGATCAAATTCTATTTATATTGAGGCTCGAGATTTCTTATTTGGAATTGAATCCGCATATTTAAGTACTCCCGCACACAAAAAAACATTCTTAATTAAAAAGGTTGCTTGGGCTCAAATTTAGTGTTTTGGGTCTGAATTTACTGAGATAGGACCTATATGTGGGGCTCTGTCATTGAGTAGGTAAAAAAAACTTCCATGTGTTGATGGTTATGTTTCCGTAATTTTATATTACTTGTAGGTTTGCACATCCACATATATACATGTCATTTGACATCTTCCTTAACATGAGAGAAGCTAGAAGTAGGTTTTTCTTTTAGGTCGATTGCTTTTGTTTAACCAGATTTCTCTTGAAATTAGATCAAGGCCTATTTACACTGAGGTTTGAGGTTTCCGATGTGGAAGCAAATCTACATAATTGAGTACTCCCACCCACACGAAAGCAGTTTTTATTAAAAAGATTGATTAGGCTCAAATTTAATATTTTGGGTTTCAATTTATTGTCGAGATAATGATTGTTGGGATGGAAGTAAACTTAATAAAAAAAAATATAATTTTATCATCCCCGGGAAACCAATTTACCAAATCTGTCAATATTAGAAGTCTTTGAGTTGCAACGTAAAGAGAGCCTAATTAACGACAATAAGTTAATTCATCCCAAGTAACTCAGATATGGAATTAACCCAAAACACAATATGAAAAATAAATAATATTACTAAAAACAAATAGGCGGTTATAACCAAGCACGCATGAAAGGGAAATTATAATAAATACGACATAACAATGTTGAAATCGGAAATAATAACAAATGACAACACAAATTCAAACTAAGGTAGATCTTGGGGTGATCGTGGTGATCGGCGAGGGGGTCGGAAGGTGATGAGATGGTAGAGGAGCTGGTCGACCTATAGAAACAACAAGGTAGCATTTTCCCAGGTTCCAATCAGCAAGCAGTCAGCGGATAATGACGTGGAACAGCTGTAATTTCAACTGTGGATGTTGGAGGTCAAGGGCATCATCATTGAAGTAAACACTAATATCATCAATTTCATGAGGGACTCTATGAATCAAAAAGCTAGGATGAACAATGTAATTTCAACCATGGATGTTGGAGGTCAAGGGCATCATCATTGAAGTAAACACTAATATCATCAATTTCATGAGGGACTCTATGAATCAAAAAGCTAGGATGAACAAGCCGGAGAAATGCCATACTTCTGCCATTCTTCCTTCTTTTAGCCCGGTAGTTTTTCATGTTGTTCATCGGGAGCTTAACAAAGCCACCCACTTTTGCGCACAAAAGGCGATCTCAAGTAGTTTTTCCTTTTCCTCGTTCTTGAATACTTCAGAGCTTTTTTTCATCCTCCAAAAAAATAAGACCGCTTTTCTTTGTTTTGTATTTTTCTTTTATGTTTAATGGAATATGCACACTTTTCAAGGATAATGATGTGGAACAGCTATTATGGATGATGGCAGCAAATGTGAAGAGGGTATGCACAAGTTCTGGAGGCAACAGCACATGGGAAGGGAAGGAGTAGTGGCTGGCGAGGCTGGGACAGGCAGGGGCAGCAGTACGGTTGCAGAGGGGATGGTGGTGGTCGTTGAACAGCCCCAAGGTTGCAAAGAAAAGGGTATGGATGAATGGAACGGCAGGAAAAAAGCCGGGAATAGCTATTCGGGTCATCTGCAGTGAGGTGGAATGACGATGGCAGTGACTGCGGATGTCAGGGGCCAACAGGACAGCAAGGGGACAGTTGTCCAGGGCAGCTAGAGCGAGGGCAGGTGTCTTGAATTGGGAAAACTACAATAAAAACAACAATGGTCCGGGGGCGGCTGCAACAATGGTGGGCGGTTGGAGCGACGTGGTGAGGATGTGGAAAGAAATAGGGAAGATAATCAATACCTCGAGAGAAAAAATACAGTCGAAGCACCACCAAAACCCTCGAGTACAGTCCTCAAATGGAGAAATGGGCGTTGCAGCGGTCCTAAACAAAACTCACAAAAAAAAACAAAACCTAGAGTATCAGAAACTCTAATAGATAATAATAAGATAACTAGAAGTGACCCAAGATTGGTCGATTGACTCCTCAAAAATCGAAAAAAAAAACTAGATCAAACCGGTCCAGGCAAATAGTCGGGACGCGGCTTCGTTCGCTGGACTCTCGCCTTAGGAGCAGGGGGGCACTCCCCCGTAAGTCTTTTGATATTGAGGGAGCTTCGACCTCATTTATTGAAGCATTTGTCTCCTCATAGTAGTCAGGTCAGCTTCGTTGAAAGTAACAGAAATGTTGTCAACTCTAGGTATGACACTATTGTAGGTGTTGTTATCCCAAAGCACGTCGTGATAGAACAAGTATCCACTTTTGGCACAACTTGAGCTGGAGCTGCCTATTAATGGGTATCCCCTCAAACCAATCCTGGAGAAATCAAATCTGTAATTGGCTTATTCCACTCCTTATACTCGTCCGAGTATATCTAAGTAAACACATATGTAAGAAGAAATCAACTCTAGTACAAAATTATGGCAAGCTGGGTCAAATTGAAGGGCAAGCACTCAGGAGAGACTTCTGCTTCTTCCTTGAAAGGACTTGGATCCAATTGTAGGATATTTCTTCCTACAAAGCTCCTAAGGCGATTTCCAACAATGTGGTTAATCCATCCCACCTGACGAAGGGTATACTGCTGAACTTAATTTAATAGTCCAATGATTCTCTATGGGCTTCCATATGTGACACAAAAGAGTCTCATCTCGGATATATTGGACCTCCCTCCGCAGAGGCAACTCAAGAAATATCATAGATATCTAAAAATTCTGAATTTTTCTTATCTGAGGTTGCCATATGTCTGATGTCGGCTCCACAAAGCTATGGCACATTCTGACATCTAATGTCAATCCTATTGATACTCCTCTGTCTGAACACCCATTATCTCGAACTCAATACCTTCTAAAACAATTATTGTCTTCTCTCTCCTGGGTTCAATTGGAATCATTGGCGTCTCTTCCTCATCGGCTAAAAAATGAGAATCCTTTTTCAAATCTTCATCTTCTCATGGATCACTATTTATTTCTTCAAATGCTCCCTAGTCCGTGAAAAAGATCATTCTCCTGATTGTGGAATCTGATTCGGTATTTCTAAATTCATGGCACTTGAAACACTTTCAG